GGAAATAGCTCCTGGAATGACTTATGCTTGGGTTTCTGTGCCTCTCGTCATACCGAAAACTATTTCGCCCTCTGACTTTGGACCCATGTGCTCCTTGTTCCGCGCCGAACATTGTGTTGAGGTTTGTACTTATTATTTGTGAATGACTTTAAAATGATGATACAGTAATAATGATTAAATCCAAATTGAGGCTCGTTCAGATCAAATGAACTTAGCTTCAAGAATAGATTTTTGTTTTGAAGTCAGATTTCTCGGGTTTTCAGCATATCTATCATCTGTGCTGAGTTTCTTTTCACCTTTTTGACTAAAGGAGCGTTTTTTTTTTCTTCTGTAAATCTATTTCTTGGACGTAGCCTCTGATGCTAGTCATTTTCTGTAAATTTTTTTCCGTGGGGTTCTCTTTCCAATTTTAGGTATTCTCTACGTCGAAATTTAGTGTACGGTACTTGAAAATAAGAGAATCTGCCTGAATTTTATGAACACATCCGTTTGATTTTTTCACTTCGTCTAGTCAGTTTTACTTTATTTATTCTATTAAGATAAATGCATTCTAATTTTTCATCCTCCTAATGATGATTTCATTATTACCCTTCAAAGAAAATTTGCGGAATCGCGTCACAGTTTTCCGAGTTTATCTTTTATAGTATTGTATCTCAATATTTCAGAATGGAAATGACAGTACTAGCCGAGAACAGTTTTCTGAACTGTTACCTGCGCTCTTGCGAATGTGAATAGAAATTGTGAACTTCGTCAATTTTCTATTCAAGTTTTTTTTCTTTCTAATATATGGATGTGATTTGGTTGTGTAAAGGAAGTTTTTTGGATTCATTGCTTGATTTAATAATTATTTGTGTTCATAGTTCACCGTATATATCGCTGGCATTGAAGAAAAACTCGTATTCGACGTGACGCTGGGAACCGTGTGTGGAAGAGAACCTGATACCAATCGTTTTGTCACGTCCTACTTGAAACAGGGTTCGTTCCNTTGGATTCATTGCTTGATTTAATAATTATTTGTGTTCATAGTTCACCGTATATATCGCTGGCATTGAAGAAAAACTCGTATTCGACGTGACGCTGGGAACCGTGTGTGGAAGAGAACCTGATACCAATCGTTTTGTCACGTCCTACTTGAAACAGGGTTCGTTCCGGGTTTTACCGGTCAACTACCATATGAAGCGACACAAGACGTGTTATTTTTCAATTCTGTTTTTGTTTTCTGTAGTTTCTCCTCAACGCGCAAGAAATGGATGCCTCGAGAACGGAATAGATGTTCCAACGGCAGAGATAAACGCGTTGGAGATATAAAACTCCGGCAATTCCGAACTGGCTGTACAATTTCAACGGACGATCTTAAAAGCAATAATACGCGAGCGAAGACGGTTGTGAATTTTTATGGGTATTTTTCACGTGGCCTTTGGGGAGCTGTGAATATTTTAAGCGATTGTGTTCTTTATTTCTCGGATTTGGACGGCGTAGTGGGAAAAAAAGGTTTTCCCTGCTTTTTTTCGATCTCTTGAGCTGTGAATGAAGTCTTTTGCTATTTTCGAATGATAATTAAAGTACGGTTTTAAGATGTATCTTGCG